TTATTTCAAATATTTCTTTAATTTGAGAATTATTTAATGTTTTCTACTAATTCTAGCAATTTCTGGTGCATTCGGACCTTTATTTTCTATAATTAGGGTGATTTTCTGAACGTAAGGTGTACTGTACAAATTGTTGGCAATTTTAATAGATTTTACAGATTTTTTCAACAATTTTTATCTGTAAATGATTTTATCGGTGCTTAGTTCACAAAATTTAACTAAATTAAAGAGATTTTCTAAAAATATTTTCAAAAAATGCAGTAAAGTAAAAAATCCCACACAATGTTTTAATTATATGGCCACTTCAAAGTCGATGTGTTTTCATAAAAACCGTTATTTATGGAAAAATTGCATGCAAAAATTTTCTATTTTCACACTAAATCTCTTAAGTGCAGTATATCGAAGTGTTCTGAATTAAAAAATTTTCAAAAATACTTCAAACGAATCGAGGGCCGATCAAAAAATGTTTAGCACAGTAAATGTTTTAATTCTGTGACCACCACTGTATATATTTGTGTCCGATTTAATGTAAATAGTCCCTATATATCTTTCGATTTGCACGAAATTTGGTATAGAATAGTGAATTAGGTCAAGAATATTGTATGCTATGTTTCGTGAAAATCGGTACAGATTTAGATATAGCTCCCATATATAGTTTCGCCCGATTTTAGATAAATGGTGCACCAAACCCCTGAAAATCATTCGATTTTGGCAAAGCGGACTGAATTAAGTCTAGAATAATGTGTGCAAAGTTTCGTGAAAATCGGTTCAGATTTAGATATAGCTCCCATATATATTTTCGTACGATTTTATGTAAATGGTGCACTAAAGCCTCTATAATTGGCACAACAAAATCGCTATATTTCATTCCATTTGCATGCATTGTGGCATAGCGTAGAATGATGTGTACTAAGTTTCGTGAAAAACGATTCAGATTTAGATAGATTTTGGCATAGCGTACTGAATTTGAATAATTGCGCTAAGTTTCATAAAAATCGGTTCAGATTTAGATATAGCTCCCATATATATTGTTGACCGATTTAATGTAAAGAGTCTCTATATATCTTTCGATTTGCACGAAATTTGGTACAGCCTACTAAATTAGGTCAAGAATGATGTATGCTAAGTTTCGTGAAAATCGGTTCAGATTTAGATACAGCTCCCATATATATTTTCGACAGATTTTATTTAAATGGTGCACTGAAAATCATTCGATTTGCACGAATTAAGTCTAGAATAGTCTAGCAAAGTTTCGTGAAAATCGTTCAGATTTATATGTAGCTTCCATATATATGTTCGTCCGATATAAATTAATCTCTGGTAACTTTCCTTGAATTCGGTTCATGGTAAATTTACACCATGTAATCAATGGATGTCTGATTGAGATTAAATTTTAAACTGACCAATATACCAAATAGCGTGTGTCAAGTTTGCTTTAAATCGATTTACAAAATTAAGCATACGTTGCAGAATGACATGTGTAGGGATTGATGTTAGTCGGTTTAGATATAGTTAAATTTCACATATTTAAATTCGTTAAATTTCATGTCAATGTTCCAGATTTAGATATAGCTCCCATATATAGTTTCGTTCGATTTCATGTAAATGGTGCACCACATATATCTTGCGATTTGCACGAAATTTGGCATAACGTACTAAATTGAGTCTAGAATGATGTCTGCCAAGTTTCGTGAAAATCGGTCCAGATTTAGATATAGCTCCCATATATAGTTTCGTTCGATTTCATGTAAATGGTGCACCAAAGACCCTATATATCCTTCGATTTGCACGAAATTTGGCATAACGTACTGAATTGAGCCTAGAGTGATGTCTGCCAAGTTTCAAGAAAATCGGTTCAGATTTACATAGAGCTCCCATATATAGTTTCGTCCGATTTCATGTAAATGGTGCCCCAAAGTCCCTATATATCTTTCGATTTGCACGAAATTTAGCATATCGTACTGAATTAAGCCTAGAGTGATGTCTGTCAAGTTTCGAGAAAATCGGTCCAGATTTCTATATAGCTCCCACATATAGTTTCGTCCGATTTCATGTAAATGGTGCACCAATTCCAAGTAAATTGGGCATCAAACTCCTCATGTTAGTCAGATTGACATCAAAGTAGTTGTGTTTTCTAGAAGTACAGACATAGCCCATCGGATGACCTATTTATATTTTTATATTTGTTTGAAGTCGATTTACATACTTTATGGATAGATCTAGATAGATTCACATTTAGATAAATATCACATATTGTATTTCATCCAATTTCATGTTAAGAGTCCTGTTTAATATACCCATAGTGGTGAAGGGTATCATATAGTCGGCCCCGTCCGACTTTACTACTTTCCTTACTGGTTTTATTTTCAGTTTGTGAAAACATATTTACTTTGGAAAAAATGTTATTTGGCTTAAAAACACCGAAGTGAATATTGTGAATTTTAATTATAAATCGTTTGATCATCTAGAAGGCACGTTAAAAGTCGGAGACTGGGATATAATAAATTTAGATATACCTTTAATTTTTATTCGCTGATCCTATTACTGATAACAAAAACATCCATCTAAGTCGTTTTATGTACTGCGTTCTGTGCATTATTTTCATGTAATTTTTTTCAAACCAAATGCTTTGGGATTTTGTTCTAATAATCATAATCCCTCATCATTCAATATATTCCTAGATCAGCGCAAAATTATTGTTGTACAGCAACTGTTTTAGCGGGGAAAGATTGCAACACTTTGCGTAGAATTTTTGTATCAAATTTATATTTAACGCAACGTGTAAAGTTAATACTGGCAAATGCTCTATTAATGTCGCTGCTCTTATACGGACTTGGAGTGTATTCGGGATCCATTGATTTGCATGTTAATAAGCTAAAGCGAATTATTAGTGGATGTTCTTTTGAAAAATATTCAGTATATATATTACCGTGGACCCTTAAGGATGTTATTTTCACAGCAATAATGCTATACGTTTAAAAATTCTATGTCAGTTACACATTTCATAGTAAAAATTACCATATTATGGATTTACTTTTTTGGCCTTTGGAAGGGGCAGCGAAGTGCCACGGGTCCAGCTAGTATACATTAAAAAAATAGGATTTTGAAATTGTTGTAGTAAACATACAGAAAATGTATCTTCTTTGCTTGGAAATTCAATTGTTTAATTTACTGCCATCTTCCGGAATAGTACGCTAACAAAAACATGAACTCGGTGCTGCCATCTATCGGTCTCGATACAGTATTACAAATTAACGTTATAGGTGGTTGCCATTGATTCGTTATATACAGAAGTGTATTTTATCATATGGTACTAAAATAATCAATGAATATTGAATATTATATATGTATACATATATTTTATAATATTGGATATTATAAATATTATAAAATTTCAATAACTAGATAATTTCAAGGACAAACTGAGACAATGCTAGCGTTTTTAAAAACACATTTCCAAATGAAATTTTTAGTTCAAAGAAACGTCTTTTAGGAATTTTTTAGGAAAATTTTTTTCAAAAATATCTCAGTTATGATTTTGAATTTTTAAAGAATATTTTTTCAATGGAATGTCTGGGAAGAATTTTTAATGAATAATTTATCGAAAGAATATCATTAAAACTATTGAATATAAATATATAGTTTATTCTGAGACTTGAAGTGGATTTTGACGTAGAATATTTTATTCATTGGCATTATATACCTAGAATTAAGTTTCATGTTACTTTAATGTACACAGTCGAAAAAAATACTGGGAAATGTCTTTGAAAAAAATACAAGAACATTTTGAATTTTTGGTTCAAAATGTATGACTATTTATAAATACAGATTTCACTTGTTCAGTGACTTATGCTAAAAATTGATGGAGACTATTTTTGTCCCTTATACTATCCTTCTAAATCGACATCTTGTGGGAAAAATGGGTAAAAACTAGTAATAAGTACGATATTAACCCTAAAATGAGTTGCTGTTTTTTTTAAGATCGACATCTTGTGGGAAAAATGGGTAAAAACTAGTAATAAGTACGATATTAACCCCAAAATGAGTTTTTGTTTTTTTAAGATTTTTGAAGTTTAGGCTGATTTTTGAGTTTAAGTCTATTCTGAGACTTATAGTAAAACTTTATGGCGAACATTTCTGTAGAATATTTTGAGCAGCTTTAACCCCGTTTTTAATGTGATTTCAATCACTCCTGGAAAAGGGGACCGAAAAGACCTCTTTAATGAGTCGGTTGAGGGTTAAAGTTGCACACCAAAATATTCCTCGATATTTTATCAGTAATATTGCCGAGCACACTATATACCTAAAATGCAAGGATTTCAAGAAATCATAATTCGAAAATTATCAAAATTCTTGAAAAGGGGGAATATTGACCCGCCTTTTTTGGTTACCTCCCGACGTAAACTTTCAAAATGCCGATACATGTGTCTTCTTTTTTTAGCCCCTCTTTCATAATCTGTTGGAATTTCACGGTAATTATTTTTTGTGTTGCACAGTGTAATTTTTCCAAGTTAAAACTATGTACTTTTCGTTTGATTTGAAATGAATATTTTCACAGAGTGCATACATTTTTTCGAAGGAAAATGTATGTTAATTTTTAATAAATATTTTTCCAAGTTAAATCTGAGTTTATGTGAATTTTAAGGAATTTTCCCAGTTAAAAAAAGCGTGGATTTTTGACAAATATTTTTTCAAAGATATATCTGTGTTATAATCGTATAGTTTGGAAGAATGCTTTCCAAAGTATTTTAACGAATATTTGTTCAAGGGGTATCAGAGTTATAGACGTGGGCTTTTAAATAACATTAATATCTGAGTTTTAAGCATGGATGTTTAAATAATATTGTGTTAGGAATTAAAAAAAATTGTTCAAATGTTCGTGAAATTTAAGACAATAATTCTCAAAAGCCACTTCTTATACGAATGGAATAAAATAATAATTTTTAAGCAATATTTGCATCCCCTTTGTTTTATTAATTTCGTTATCATGTTGTACATCATTATTTTGATGTTCTCTTCTTCAAACCAATTTGCATACCAGTTTCCGAACGTAAAACAATTCCAAGTATGGGTTCAACATTTACACCGAATGGCAACAGCTCATATTCCCTGACGATTTTACAAAGTATAACTTTCATTTCCAACATTGCAAAGCGTTGACCAATACAATTTCGTTGCCCCGCACTAAATGGAATATAGGTAAATGGGTTACTAGAAGACGTGTCTTCGTGTCGATCTGGTATAAAATCAGATGGTTTTTCATAATATCGAGGATCTCTCATTGTATTGAAAATTGAAATAACGAACTGTGTATTGGCAGGAATAATGCCATCACCAAAACGAGAGTGAGCTGTAATCATGAAAAACGGATGAGAAATGAATTTTAAGAACATTTTTCGATTGGTTTTTAATCCATAACAGCTTACTATAATGAAAATCTTCGCTGATTTCACGCCCAATTAATGGTACTGGTGGGTACAGCCTCATTGACTCCTTTATTACACATTCCATATATTTCAATTCATTTAATTTGGACATTGTGAATGGCTCGATATTCAATTCTCCAAAAACTGCATATATTTCAGATAGCAGCCTTTTCTGTACTTCAGAATGGCGTGACACCAGATATAGAGTGAAACTAATGGCAGTCGTTGTGGTATCGTGACCCTCAAACATAAATGTATCGACTTCCTCCTGGATGTCATCATTTGACAATGGTCGACCATCAATTGAAGCTTGCAAGAGAACATCGAGTAAAGCCATATGCTTTCTAGCACCAATGTCATGGGGATCATGATTTTTTTCGGCTTCTGAATTTAATTGTATCTCCAATTCTCGGCGACGTTCCTCAATGACAGTTTTTGTGAATTTGTGCATGATTTTTATGAGTTTATTTTGTCGTAGTTTCTTCAGTGGACACAAAATAGAAAACACTAATTCCTTGTTTAGATGGGCACGAATAAATCGCCACATCATCAGATTTGTTATTCTGAAAGAAATGTAAAAAAAGGAAAACAACGGATGTAGTCGAGCAGGGCCGATAAGGAGATGAAAGTATTGTTTTATACCCTCAGCCTTAGGTATAAGGAAGATATATATTCATATATAATAATCACAGGGTGTATTATACATATATGACAGGCTGAGGGTATATTGCTGGTGTCAACGTCTGTTTTTATTTCAATTACAACTTACTCCCTCACAGCAATCTTATATGGCATAGTTTTGTCCGTCTGAGCATGGACATTAACACCCATTGCTGATTCCATTATTATATCCAAGGTAGCTGAACAAATATAGGGCATTATATCAAATTTTGTCACACCATTGGCTCTCTCCGAGAGGCAATTAATCAAAACCGTCGATTGTCTATCGAAGATTTCTAAGAATTGTTCCAATATTGTAAAATGAAATGTTGGTGTTATAATTTTACGGCGGGTATACCATTTTTGTGAGTCGCTTATTAGCAAACCTGTTCCCAGCCATGGTTTTAAGATATTATATAAATTTGATTTGCGCGTTTGTGTGGAATGAACTAAAAATTGTTCAATCAATTCTGCATTTGATGTGAATATAAACAGACGATCTAGTACCCAGCCTTTTATAGTGTCTCCATATAAATTGTATGCTTCAAACGACTTTGCCAGTAATTCTAAAATTAAAAAAAATAGAATCATTTTGTTGTTGTCGGCGCCCCGCTTGATTACAGCGCCCCGCTTGATTACAGTCTTAGTAGCCATGGTACAATAATACAATAGCTAATTACTAATTTAAATATTATTATCTCAAACCGGGTAAAAATACACAAATTGATTAGTGGCTACCTATACAATTATTATAATTTTAATATTTGTTCAAAGTTCGCAACGGCAAACGATATGCAAATAAAATCAATTAATACAAAAATTATGAATTATCAAGAATAAATCTAATACCAATATTAGTAGAAAATATCTTATAGGAAAAGTAACCTTAAGAGATACGAGATTTGTTTCTTCATTCATTTTTATGTTCACTTTTATATATATCGAATTCATTAATAAAATTAAAAAGTGCCTGTATACAAAGCATCAATATATGTCCAATTGTGTTTATGACTTTGTTGTAGGTGCAGTTTTACAAAAATCTTACTTTTCGGTGTTAGAGTTGTTGCTTCACCCACACAGCCTAATACTGGAACACACAACGGCCCAGGAATATGATCCGTAAGCTGGCGACCATATTTTGTTATTGTATCAATAACAGCGAAATGAAAACCAGCGTGAAGTGTACCATCTTAAAGGCAAGAGAAAACTGGTCAGCTACAGAATGACTTAATGTCACATAGAACGATATTCAATTCCATTCAATAATAATAAAAAACAAGAACAAAAAATAGAGAGTAATATACGAAATGAGAATGCGGTTTGTTGCATTATCGCTTTCAAAGAATCCACTCTCTTTAACGGGATTTCAAAACAATCAACGAAATCCAATAAGTGAGTTTATAACCCTCTCTGTTCCATTGGTTTGGGGTTAATCTCAGAACGAGTAAAAAAGTTATTAAATTCAACTTGTTCGAATATTGTACCCTCCACCTGAGGTGAGAATTTAAAAGACAATATGATTATTTCAATGAGAATATCACAAATATAAAGTTTAACATTTTTTCTCGGCGTATTTGAATAATTCGGCCGTACTGAACATTTTGCCATAGTGGGGAAGTTCAATATTGGTATACGCCATCGAATGGGTTACTCGAAGTATAGACTTCGTGTCGATCCGGTATAAAATCAGATGTTTTGTTATAATACTCAGGATCTCTCATCGTATTGAAAATTGAAATAACAAATTGTGTCTTGGCAGGAATAAAGCCATCACCTAAACGGGAGTGAGCTGTAATTATAAAAAAGGGAATAGGAAGGAATAAAAGGCTTACAAAAATTAAAATTTTGGGTAATTTCACGGCCTATGAATGGCACGGGTGGGTATGGCCTCAGTGACTCCTTTATAACACATTCCAATTCAATTGATTTAATTTGACCATTGTGAATGGCTCGATATTCGATTTTCCAAAAACTATATATATTTCAGATCGCCTTTTCTGTAGATCAGAATGCCGTGACCCTAGATACAGGGTAAAACTAAGTGCAGTTGTTGTCGTATCGTGACCCTCAAACATAAATGTATCCACATCCTCTTGTATATCATCATTTGACAATGGTCGACCATCAAGTATTGTCCTCAAGTGGATATCCAGTGGAGCCATATGTTTCCTAGCACCAATGTCATGGGAATCGGCTTCTTCATTTAAAAGTATCCCCTCGTTCCTCAATGATAGTTTTCGTAAATTTGTGCATGATTTGTTGATATTTATTTCGTCTTTGTTTATTCAGTGGACAGAAAATATAAAATAATATTTCCTTGTTTGTTTAATTTAACATCGTGTAGAACATTATCAGTTCTTATTCAATGAAAATATCAAATCCAATAAAAGGGCTTATTAAGCTTTCTGTTACGTCATAGTTTTATAATATTCGAAAGGGTTGATTTAATCTTAGAACAAGTAAACAAGGTGTTAGTGGGAATTTATGTGCAAAATGTTATTTTAAATATTAGTGTAAAGTGCATAACAACTAACATTTTGGTTCTAAGTCTGCGGTTAAGAACATCACAATATGGATATGTCCACATTATGGAGTGAATGTCTGCAAAAAAATCGTATGGCCTCGCAGAACGAGCTATAAAAACTGCAGAATATAATAAATCAACTGTGTAGATTTTGCTTTATTTATTTAATATATATTCATTTTATATCCAACCATTATTAAGTAGAGACACGTTTTTTTATTCCTAGTTGCATACCAGTTTCCGAACGTAGTACCATCCCAAGCATAGGTTTAATATCTTGACCTATAGGCAACAACTCGTACTCACGAAGAACCTTACAAAGAACAATTTTCATTTCCAACATTGTAAAGCGTTGGCCAATACAATTTCGAGGACCAGCACTAAATGGTATGTAACTAAATGGATTAGAGGCAGGCGATTCTGTGTGTCTATCTGGTATAAATTCTGTAGAATTGTCGTAAGTCTTAGGATCTCTCATTGTATGGTAAATTGAAATGAAGACTTGTGTAGAAGCTGGGATAATGCCATTACCCAAATTGGAGTGAGCTGTAAATAACAAAGAAGGATGTGAGAAATTTCAAGAAATATCTGAAAGCTCTGTAAGCTTTGACAACCTACTGTAAGGGAAATCTTCGGTAATTTCACGTCCAATTAGTGGCACTGGTGGATATAGACGCAATGACTCCTTTATTACACATTCCATATATTTCAATTCATTTAATGTGGTCATTGTAAACGGCTCGATATTCGATTCTCCATAAACTGTATATATTTCAGATAGCAGCATTTTTTGTACTTCAGGATGTCGTGAGACAAGATACAGAGTAAAACTTAGAGAAGTCGTTATTGTATCATGGCCCCCATACAAAAATGTGTCCACTTCCTCACATATATCATCAATTGACAATGGTCGGCCATCAATTGTTGCTAGCAAGAGGACATCCAGCAGAGCCATATGTTTCTTTTCACCAATGTCATCGGGATCATCATTTTGTCCGGTATTTTTTTCGGATTTTAATTGCATATCCAGTAATTTTCGTCGTTCCTCGATAACATTTCTTGTAAAATTGTGCATCAATTTGATGAGTTTAGTCTGTCGTAATTTCTTCAGTGGACTTAAAATTGAAAATATGGTTTCATGGTGCAGATAGCCTCGTATACAACGCCACACTATCAATTCGGTCAACCTTAAAAACATAAGCAGACAAATTGTAAAATTTTCTGCAGTGCTAATTCTCGAGGGACCTAATATGCCCCTCCAAAAATATGATAAAGGAATAATATAATTTCATTTAACTTTTATTTAATACTTACTCTTTTACAGCCATTGTATATGGCATAGATTTATCTGTCTGAGCATGGACATTAACACCCATTGCTGATTCCGTTATTATATCCAAGGTGGCTGGACAAATATAAGGCAAAATATCAAAAGCTGACACACCATCGGCTTTCTCCAATAAACAATTAACCAACACCGTAGATTGTCTATCGAAAACTTCTAAAAACTGTTCCAATATAGAAAAACTGAATGTGGGTCTTATTATTTTACGGCGGGCATGCCATTTCCTTGAATCGCTTAGTAGGAGACCAGTTCTAAGCCATGGTTTTAGAATGTTATATACACTTGATTTACCAATCTGGGTGGGATGAGCGAGAAGTTGCTCGACCAATTCAACATCTGACGTCACTATAAACAGACGATCCAATATCCAGCCTTTCATTGTATTTCCATAGAGTCGTTGAAATTCACATGCTATTTCCATAGCCTCTAAAAATTCCAATGAAAAACATTTTAATATATAATTGGTTAAACTGAGTTTGTCATGTCACTTTGTTATGTACTAGGACATTAAAAGTATAGGCTTCCAATTCATATGAGGACAGAATTATTCTGTGACATTCCAATTAAATATTGGCTACGAAGCCAATCGAAATTGACATACAATATTAAAGGCAGCTTAAAATCGATTAATTTCGCTTTCTTAAGAAATGATTCAGTCAATTAAGCTTCTCGTTTGTGGGATTTTTTTTTTAAATAATTCTGCAATAAATGAACCAAATTATTATTTCTTTCTTATTATGTTTTTATGGAAATTTTCTACCGAATTTCTCATTCTCAAAAACTATTTTTGTTGTGTTGCTTTTTTTAAATTACTTCACTTCTCACTTGAAGGCATAACCGTTGCTACATTGGTCACACAACCCAAAATTGGAACAACATAGGGCCCGGGAATGTGATCTGTATGTTTGCGACGATATTTTGTGGAGATATTAATTCGTAATGCCCATACGAATAGGACAATAAAAACGACCGTGAAGAAAACCATTTCGGTGGCAAATGAAAACTGAACAGCCACACAGATTATAGGTATATTATATAGGCACTTGTTTTTTCCTCCAGTTAATAATTAGTAATTAGCTAATTTTTCTATTTGAATAATTAATTCAAGACTTTAATTAAATTTCATTATTATCTTTTCAGTTTGTTGTGCTCACATTTATTTGTATTGATAGTAAAAATACTCTCCCGCCTAGCCTTAACAATGACAGAACTGAATTGCAAGGGAAAACGTGTGATCTGTTGTTACGAAAACATATAGAGCCGAACTAATCAGAAATAATCTTATATTTATAAAATTAACTTGAAACAGTTCACTATGGGCCAGATATCCCATTTTTAACCATAAGTAGATGGTAGTGGGTTTATGAAATAAATAAATATCACATATAATGATTTGTAGGACGTTATTTACTATCCTTCAAACGATAACGGCGTTAAAATTTTTAAATTTTGATGAAATCAAATTATTTTTAAAAATGGTTTTTAGAGCCACTACTTACAAATGTGAAATCAGAATTTGTCGTTATTTTAAACTAAATTTAATATATGATTTTTAATTTATTTTATTATTGACATTTCTAATCCGTGGCTCAATATGTTATTTTAATTTTAAAAAGTACGTTCACCCATATCGATTTTCTATAATGTCAAAGCATAGACTGACATTTTCTAGCAATGTTTATCAAACTCCAAAAAAAACAAGCAGAATGAAAAATTACAAGTACATCGTTTGGCAAACGCGGCAATGGATATGGACCAACATTGATAATTATAGCAAAACGCCTCAAAAAGTCGAAATATTGGAGGAATTCTTAAAAGGTGACTAATATAACATTTTTGACATTACAAAGTACTAAAGATAAAAATCCGAGGTCTCAATTTTTACCACTGATAGTACTCTACAAAATGTATAAAGGGGGAATTGTAAAAAATTGAATTGTATATGATATTATTAAAAAATTGCAGTTTATTTCGCGGAAATGCCCATATGTAAGATGTTTAGCTACACTAAAAATAGATTACACACGTGTATATTCGTAAGTATAATAAACATAACAATTGAACTAATTAATTAATGTCTACTTCTATATTATAATTTTAATATTTGTTCAAAGTTTGCAACGTCGAATCAAATGCAAAATTCAATTAAACGTATGAAAATATCAATTATAATGAATAAATCAAAAAATTGTAATCGTTATAGATAAGAGGTTTGGTTTTTTTCGCTTTGGTATTTCAATTTCTTTCTAGGTTTAGGTGAGGTGGGGCCACGTTTTGGTGGAGCCCTCACATAAAAATTCCACCCCATTTTCAATATTTGGTAGAGCTCCCATGAAACTGCACTTTTATAGATGTGGATATATGTTTACAATTTGTGTGCCTGTTAGGGAAAACAACTTTTTTTACAATAACTTTTTCTATATTTGCCTTTATATTTTTAAATATTTCCTTCAAATACAAAAACACACCCTCAATCTTATAATGGATCACATAAAAAACACTTTTGATTTTATTTCCTTCATTTAGAATTATTACAAAATAATAAATTAAATATTTAAATTTTTTATTTAGAAACCCGCTTCCTCATGCCAAGTTGCATACCAGTTTCTGAACGTAATATAATTCCAAGTAAATGTTTAATGTCTTGACCCAGAGGCAATAACTCGTATTCGCGAAGAACTTTACAAAGAACAATTTTCATTTCCAGCATGGCAAAGCGTTGACCAATACAATTTCGTGGACCAGCACTAAATGGTATATAACTAAACGGGTTGGAGGCGGGCGATTCTATGTGCCGATCCGGTATAAATTCTAACGGATTTTCATAAGCTTGAGAATCTCTCATTGTATGGTATAGTGAAATGACTAGTTGTGTAGAAGCTGGTATAATGCCATCTCCCAAACTGGAGTGAGCTGCAATTCAAAGAAGAAAATCATTTTAAAAAAATCCAGATAGGTTTTGTGATCGTTAACAACTCAACTCCGTACTTGAAGGCATTACAGTTGTTGCATCTGTCACACAACCCAAAATCGGAATAACATAAGGACCAGGAATGTGATCTGTATGTTTGCGACGATATTTTGTAGTGATATGGATTCGTAAAGCCCAGACGAATAGAATACTAATAAAAACTACGGTGAAGTACAACATCTCGTTACCGAATGAAAACTGAAATGTCAAACCTATAATATGATTATTATATATATATATATGATCTTCCACCCAGTCAATAACAACTTCAGTTAATTCATTAGTTAAACTATTTGAATAAATTATTTTAAGAGTTTAATCCCATGCCATTATTATCAGTCAGTTTATGTGTGCTTAAGAGTTGTTTCTAAGCATCAATGTATACACAGTCATTGGATTTATTGTAGCCATGGGTATAAAAGTGTCAATCTCCATGGTTCCTTCATATGTGATCTATGTTAATATCTATACGAATAAAAAAACAAAGAGCAAACTATTGTAATTATAAATTTAACCATTTAATGCTAGGTATTTAAATTTACAGTTATTCAATCAATAATGTTTTAATCGATCAATTATTCGCACGTGAATGTTTTGTCACAAGGTATACATCAAAACATATACATACCTATGTTATTAAGTATGATCATTTTCGAAGGGCTAAACAAAACATATGTCAAAAATCCTCAAAATACAGAAACATTTTCTTGTTTTTTCTTTTACTTTTATTCATAAGTACATAGTAGAAGAAATATGTAAATTTTTGTATGTACACACTCGCTTCTTCATACCTAGTTGCATACCAGTTTCCGAACGTAATATTATTCCAGGCATAATTTTAACATCTTCACCTAAAGGCAACAGCTCATATTTGCGAAGTATTTTACAAAGTACAAACTTTTATTTCCAGCATTGCATATCGTTGACCAATACAATTTCGTAGACCAGCACTAAAAGGTATATAACTAAACGGTTTAGAGGCGGGCGATTCTTTATGTCGATCTGGTATAAATTCCGTGGAATTGTCATAAACAGGGTCCCTCATTGTATGGTAAATTGATATAAATATTTGTGTAGAAGCTGGAATAATGCCTTTACCTAAACTGGAGTGAGCTGAAATCGAAAAGAAACTATAGAATATAAGAATATGTCTAATTCATCTATAATCTTTGACAACTTACTATAATGAAAATCTTCAAACAGCTCACGCCCAATTAATGGTACTGGTGGATATAGACGCAAAGACTCCTTTATCACACATTCCATATACTTAAGTTCATTTAATTTGGCCACTGTAAATGGTGCGATATTTGTTTCACCAAACATCGTGTATATTTCAAATAGCATCATTTTCTGTACTTCTGGATGCCGTGACACCAGATGCAGGGTGAAACTAAGGGCAGTTGTTGCTGTATCATGACCTGCAAACATAAATGTATCCACTTCCTCTTGTATATCATTATTTGATAATGATTGTCCATCAATTGTTGCTTGCAAGAGGACATCGAGTAGAGCCAGATGTTTCCTTGCACCAATGTCATAGTGATCATGATTTGTTGCGGAATTGTTCATAGATTTTAAAAGTTTTTCCAGTTCTTGTCGTCGTTCCTCAATAACATTTCTTGTAAAATTGTGCATCAATTTAATGAGTTTAGTTTGTCGTAATTTCTTAGTGGAGATAAAATGGAAAACATGGTTTCATCGTGTAGGTAGGCGCGCATAAATCGCCACACTAGCAATTTTTCCAACCTTAAAGAAACAATTGAATACGGAATGACTATAGCTGTACAGAATCGAATATGAAGTAGCATATACAACTGGACTCTAACTTCCTGTAATGTTTTATCCCCACTTTCGTAATAATGTTTATTTGTTGCCCTGCCCGATATGCTTGTGTACAATTTCGTTACTTGAATAACTGGCAAACCTAAAATGCGTTAGTTATTAAATGTTAATTGACCCTATTTTGTGATGATTACACCATTATCGATATTTCTGTTACTATATACAAACGGACGAGGTATGAGGTATTTTTCTATGCCGAATATAATTATGTATATTGAACAATTTTGTTTTAATTTTTTCTATACTCACTCTTTCAGTGCCACTGCATATGGCATGGATTTATCTGTCTGAGCATGGACATTAACACCCATTGCCGACTCCCCTATTATATCCAAGGTGGCTGAACAAATATAGGGAAAAACATCAAAAGCTGACCAACCATCGGCTCTCTCCGACAGACAATTAATCAGCACCGTTGATTGTCTGTCGAAAATGTCTAAAAATTTTTCCCATATTGTAAAATGAAATGTTGGCGTTATGATTTTACGGCGAGTATGCCATTTTTGTGAATCGCTCATTATTAGGCCAGTTCCCAGCCATGGGTTTCCCAACTTATATAAACTTGATTTGCGTATTTGAGTGGGATGAACTAGAAGTTGTTCAATCAATTCAACATCTGCTGTTACTATAAACAGCCGATCCAATATCCAGCCTTTTATAGTATCTCCATATCGTTGCTGAAATTCGTTGGCTTTTTCGATAAGTTCTAAAAAAAGTAACAAAAAAAAAACAAAAGAAAAGAAAAATGAGCAGACTATATGACCGGTGTGGTGTTTAGAATAAATGGTAGACTTCTAAATATAACATGCTTGATCACAACTATACAAAAAAAATTAAAAAATCAACAGGCGTTAAGTTCGTATGTTGAAGGGTAATATGAACTACACCAAAATGTAACCGGACTTTATATTTATAAAGATGATATTACAAGCAAGTGGATCTATGCCGAACAAAAACTTTTGGTAACCCATCGGTCACCAGAAATGCTAAATTGCAGGCACTTTTGATGGCATAGATACAATTTTCTGCAAGACATACTAAAAAAATAGAACGGAGGAAATTCTATAATGTCTCAATCAGAGTGTGTAAGAGATATTCATATGAATTTTTTACACAACATGAGGTCTATTATAGCGAACAATCGTGCATCATTAACTCGAAAATCACGTTTTTTGAATTATGCCTGTCTTGAAGCAAATGAGAGATATGCTTGCTATATCATGAATATCTATCACACGGGTTGATTGAGAATCTTCCCTGCGTGAGGTGTGAGAGTCAATTGAATACTAAATAATTTTATTATTTATGATTTGTTTCAAAGATATTGTTAAGTGATATTAATTTTGCTTGCCGGTTTGTACCCTTAAACATGGTAGAATATGTGACGTAATATATTTTGTGAACTCTTCTAGAAAACCAAGCTTTTTATCAGAATCAAAAACGGACTTTCGAAATAAACGACTCATATATACTGTAAAGGTTTTCATCTTCAAAGGGAATTTTGTTTTGTATGTATCCTTTTACATTTGTACACTTTTTGCACAACAATTAACAATTTATTCATATATAATATCATATATTTTAGTCATATTGAATTTTACTTAAACGAGAAAAGAACCAAGCTCCAACCGTTTGACAAGCTACAGTCACAAGTGTTTACGTTAATAGATTTGAAAGTTGCTTCACAACTATGTACCATACATCATAGATAAAAGTACAAACATTTTGTTCTCAAAAATGAGGAATATTTTTACTCAAATATTCACATAAAACACTTTGTTTCTTACAGATAATCTTACTTGAGGGCATTACTGTAGTTGCCTCAGCCACACAACCCAAAATTGGAATAACATATGGGCCCGGAATGTGATCTGTATGTTTTCGACGATATTTTGTGGTGATATGGATTCGTAACGCCCATGCGAATATAAGAACAATAATAACAACTACCGCGAGGTATGCCATTGCGGTGGCGAATTAAAACTAAACCGTCCCAGCAGTAATAATAAGAATATTATATATACACAACCTTCTTCAAATAATTAATAATAAATTATACAATTTGAATAAATTATTGTAATTTTTTTACTCAAATGTTGAGGGCTGTTTTCGTTTTGTTTCTCACCAAATAATGAATGCAAAAAAGTATTCGATCTTGGGTAGTTTCTACGACCCAATTTCTTTGATTCGTAGGTGAGCTATGAAAATATTAATTGAAGAAATAAATAAAAACGATGAGCTAATTATTTCAAATATATGATTAACAAAATGCAATTAATTAATAAGTGCTAATCGTTTAATTATTGACGTCATGTTTGGCTTGTGGTGATCGTAATAATGCGTGTAGTTATAAGTATTCAATATAACTCAAAATTTAATTACAGAAAATCAAAACAATTTCAAAGCAGATGGTAAAAATAAAATACAAACCTATTTATGTGTCGAACATTACGTCACATAGCCGAGCAAGGTAGCCTAATGAAGGTGATTACCATTTACTAAAATCAAAAGTGTGCCTTGACGAAAGAAGGTATTTATTTATTTATTGTGTTTTTTCTTATTTTTTCTTTATTCCTTACAAAATGTATAAATAACATATCTAACCGGTTGTTATTATGTAGACACACGCTTCTTCATGCCGAGCTGCACGCCTGTTTCCGATCGTAATATAATTCCAAGTAATAGTTTGATATCTTGACCCAGAGGCAATAGCTCATATTCACGAAGAACTTTACAAAGGATCATTTTAATTTCCAGCATTGCAAAGCGTTGACCAATACAATTTCGGGGACCACCACTAAATGGTATATAACTAAATGGGTTTTTGACATGTGAATCTGAGTGACGATCCGGTATAAATTCAGTGGGATTTTCATAAGCTTGCGGGTTTCTCATTGTATGGTAAAGCGAAATGATGACTTGTGTAGAAGCTGGAATAACGCCATCTCCTAAGCTGGTGTGAGCTGAAATTCAAGAGAAAAGAGGGAGAAATTTGAGAAATATCTGACTGATTTGCAATGTTTATCAACATACTATAATGTAGGTCTTCAAAAATTTCACGGCCAATTATTGCTACTGGCGGGTATAGACGCAACGACTCCTTTATAACACATTCCATATACTTCAATTCATTTAATTTAACCATTGTGAATGGTTCGATATTTATGTCTCCAAAAACGACATAAATTTCATATAGCAGCATTTTCTGTATGTCAGGATGTCGTGACACCAGATACAGAGTAAAACTAAGCGCAGTCGTTATCGTATCATGACCTCCAAACATAAATGTATCCACTTCTTCCTGGATATCATCATTTGACAATGGTCGACCATCCATTGTTGCCAGCAAGAGGACATCCAGCAGAGCCATGTGTTTCCTAGCACCAATGTCATCAAGATTTTGTTCGGTAGTTTTTCCGGAATTTAGAAGTTTCTCTAGTTCTTGTCGTCGTTTCTCAATAATATTTCGTGTGAAATTGTGCATCAATTGTATGAGTTTAGTTTGTTGTAATTTCTTTAATGGGCATAAAATGGAAAACATAGTTTCTTCGTGAAGATAGGCTCGCATACAACGCCACACGATCAATTGCATCAATCTAAAACAAAAAGCAAAAGAAGATGGGTTATCCGTAGACCAGATTTCTAACTTAGTGTAACTTTTTGCGATGGTAGGAACTTAATTGTGGACTGTTGAGCGTCCTTAAAAACTATACAAATAATCCACGAGCTCTGGCGACTACTGATTGCTTATTATTTTTAATACTCACTCCTTTACGGCCATTGTATACGGCATAGATTTATCGGTCTGAGCATGGACATTGACACCCATTGCTGATTCTGTTATTATATCCAAGGTGGCTGAACAAATATAAGGCATAACATCAAAAGCAGATGTACCATCAGCTCTCTGCATTAGGCAATTAATAAGAACCGTTGATTGTCTATCGAAAATTTTTACACATTTTTCCAATATTGCAAAATGAAATGTGGGTGTTATTATTTTACGGCGAGCATGCCATTTTTCTGAGTCGCTTATTAGTAGACCAGTTCCCAGCCATGGTTTCAGGATGTTATATAAATATGATTTCCGAATCTGGGTGGGATGAGCCAGAATTTGCTCGATCAACTCAACATCTGCTGTTACTATAAACAGATGGTCTAATATCCAGCCTTTTATGATATGTCCATACCGTCCCACCATTTCATTTGCCTTTTCCATAGCTTCTAAATACGAAGAAAACAGTATAAAAATATTAAAGATCACTTTTTAATACTCAAGATTTTTTTTAATATTCCGACTTTAATGTTTTGTGTTCCCAATGCGGCACTTAAAGTATTTTAGTTTACTATGATGTGGAAGACTGCAAGTAACGTTATGTTCCGATAAAGTTAGTGTTTTTTCTCGAACACTAATATTTTGGTCAACGCAGCAGATATATGTAAAGCGTAATGTTTTTTGCCTTTTAAGTTATATTCCTTATATGAGAATTTAAAATGTTTCTCCTTACTTGAGGGCATCACAGTAGTTGCCTCAGACACACAACCCAAAATTGGAATAACATAAGGCCCCGGAATGTGACCTATATATTTGCGACGATATTTTGTAATGATATGGATTCGTAACGCCCATACGAATAGGACAATAATAAAAACTACCGTGAAATATGCCATTTCGTCGACGATTGAAAACTGAATAGCCACAGTGGTAATAAGACTATTATATAGACACAAACTTCTGCAAATTATTAATTAATAAATTATACTTTATGTATAAATGTTCTAATTTCATTTTCTCTAAATGTTTATGTTTGTTTAGTTTTTTCTCTCAGCAACATTAAATGCCGAATGGTAAGGCTATGTTGTCAAGTCTGAATTTCTGTGAGCCACAAAATACGCACGAAAAACTCGAAACGACAAAACTATTATAAATGCATAAAAATTAAATAAAACATATCGCTCATTTGCTGCAAGACCAGCACAAATAAAAATTTTTGATTTTGCAGAAAAAGTGTTTAATGTTTTCAACTGACTCACACATTTCAAGGAACAGAGGAACTTATACAGCTTGTCAATTAACATGTACAAGAGATATTCATCTGATTCTTTCACACAAAATAAAGTCTGATATTGCGAATAATTCTGCATCATTACCTCAAAATTCAGCATCTTTGATTTATGCTAGTCTTGGAGCATAGTATAAAAGGTGTTAATCGTTAATCTATTTGTGTACTTTTGTTTTGCCCCTGCTAATTATAACTAATTGTTTAGGGATACATATTCTGTATGACCCAAATTTATTGAATTACAGAACAAAATTAATAATTACAGAAAAAATCAAATGTTCATACGATGTATGATAAGAAACCGGGATTTTCTCCATTTTGTCAGTTCCGTGTATTGGATTTTGTCTCGTTTTTGTGTGCTTTTTGATTTTCATTAATCCTAATTAAAGGAAACTCCTCAAATCAGTTCTTTGTTCTTTTATGGTAATTTATTGCAAAACTTATAAAAAACAAATATCCAATAGTTTACTCATGTAGACGCTCGCTTTTTCATACCAAGATGCATGCCAGTTTCTGAACGTAATATAAGTCCAAGCATAGGTTTAATATCTTGGCCCAGAGGCAATAGCTCATATTCGCGTAGAACTTTACAAAGAATAATTTTAATTTCCATCATTGCAAAGCGTTGACCAATACAATTCCGAGGTCCAGCACTAAATGGTATATTACTAAATGGATTAGTGGCTGATTCTTTGTATCTATCCGGTATAAATTCCGTGGGATTTTCATAGGCTTGCGGATCTCTCATTGTGTGGTAAACGAAAATGAACATTTGTGTAGAAGCTGGAATAATGCCATTGCCCCATCTAGGGTGAGCTGAAATACAAAAGAAGAAATAGGCTACATGCCAATATGTAATAGCTTTTTGATTTCTGACAACTTACTGTAATGGAAATCTTCGGTGATTTCACGTCCAATTAGCGGTACTGGTGGATATAGACGCAATGACTCCTTTATTACACATTCCATATACTTCAAATCATTTAATTTGGTCATTGTGAATGGCTCGATGTTTGTCTCTCCAAAAACTGTGTATATTTCCGAGAGCAGCATTTTCTGAACTTCTGGATGCCGAGACACCAGAAACAGGGTAAAACTAAGGGCAGCCGTTGTTGTATCATGGCCCTCAAACATAAATGTATCCACTTCCTCTCGTATGTCCTCATTTGACAAGGGCTGGCCATCAATTGTTGCCTGCAAGAGGACATCGAGTAGAGCCATGTGTTTTCTTGTACCAATGTTATCGCGATCATGATTCTGTTCGTTGTTTCTCTCCGATCTCAATTGTTTCTCCAGTTCTCGCCGTCGTTCCTCAATAACATTTGTTGTAAAATTGTGCAACAATTTAATGAGTTGAGTTTGCCTTAATTTTTTCAATGGACATAAAATGGAAAACATGGTTTCATGGTGCAAATGGGCACGTAAACAACGCCAAAAAATCAATTTTGTCATCCTTAAAAAAACAATATGCCAAAGAATATTGGTTATTCGTTTACCAGATTCCTATCCTAGTCATAAGCTATATAAATAATCAACGGACATTGACGACAATCGTTCCATGTCTGACATATGTGCTATAATTATAAAGATTGCAATGGATCCTCTCAAGCATAGTCAATTCATCTAGTCGACAAATGACAATTCCTATGGAGGATATAATTTGGTAACTTTATTTATTATTTAATTCAATACTCACTCTTTCACAGCTATAGTGTATGGCATGGTTTTATCGGTCTGAGCATGGACATTAACACCCATCGCCGACTCTGTTACTATATCCAAGGTAGCCGAACTAATATAGGGTAAAACATCAAAAGCTGACCTACCATCGGCTCTCTCCGACAGACAATTATTCAAAATCGTTGATTGTCTATCGAAAACTTCCAAGAATTTGTCCAATATTGCAAAATGAAATGTTGGTGTTATGATTTTACGTCGAACATGCCATTTTTGTGAATCGCTCATTAGTAGACCAGTTCCCAACCATGGTTTTAGAGTGTTATATAAACTGGATTTCCGAATCTGTGTTGGATGAGAGAGTAGTTGCTCAACCAATTCTACATCTGATGTTATCATAAACAAACGATCCAATATCCAACCTTTTACAAAACTCCCATACAATTGTTTAAATTCATTCGCTTTCTCTATTACTTCTACAAAAAATAATAATAATAAAGAAAAAATCATAGTGAATATACAGTTTCATCCAAATAGTATTATTCATATAAATGCTATTTTCAAGATAATTTTTATTTCATTACAAAAGGGGAAGATTTACAATAAAAACAAAAATGGTCATACAAAATCATTAACCGCGCCAAACTAAGGATTTCCGAGGCACATTGGGACAATCGAAATCTTTATGTTTGGCGGGCTATACAATAGTGATTTTTAGTAGGAAAATTGTACACCCCATGAGAACCAAATTTAAGCCAATTCCACAGCCTGTATTCCAAACCTGTATCTTAAATATTGCAGACGGACATGTATAAATCCAAGCCTATTAAAGGCCTTTGAAAAATATTTTCAAAAGTCCACGCCTTTTCTTGAAAAAATATTTTTGAAAACCAAACCTGTTAAAGATCCCTGAAAAAAAAAAACATTTTTTAAATCCTCGCCTGTGATTACGGATTTCAATTGTAGCGTATAGATCGACTCCAAAAAACACAAAAAATTAAGTTTTCAGTTCAATTCATTCCAAAATTATTATCTGATCTTCAAAAATTATTATTGTCGTTATCCTTGACCATAACTGGAACTTCATGTAAAATGTTAAAGCGATCAGCGCTATATTTCCGCCCTCCAGTGTTGTATTAGTTTACTTAATAATATCTGAATTCGTAAGCACGTGTAAATATCTACGTGTAACTCCCACGCCCGAGTGCATACGACAATATAATTGGTATCAATTTAAAGGTCAACAACTCCTCTTACATATATTAAAAACTTCTTTATAAAAACAGGCATGCTCATTCTTTGGCCCGATCCCCTTCTCCAAGTAAAAATTTGCGAAGTTTGGGACATAATTGCGGCCTCTGGAGCGACCAGAATATCAGACAAAAATAAAGTTTTGGTCCATCTCATCACTTAAATATTAACCGATTTTTACCAAAAACAATAGTAGTCTTCATTGACCATAACCCATCCTACGTGCAAAATTCCGTGAAGATTGTACCATTACTGTGGTCTGATTCGTCTTTACAAATTATAATGGACAGATGGACGGACGGACACACATGTCTAAATCGACTCAGCTAGTCGATATATGACAATCGGTATACTTAAAGGTGGGTCTACGACCAATATTTCGCGGCGTTACAAACTCTTGGGGCTGCACAAAGCTATAATACCCTGACAACATAGTTGTGTAGGGTATAAAAATCAAAGGTAACTGTTAGTATTCTTATAAAAAAATACACGTGAGTTTCTAGTTCGTAATTTTTGTGTAAACCACGACTGTGGAAACAATATTTTGCAGATCCACATCTTGTATAAGTCCTTATAAACATTTTAAAAGTGGAATCTTCTTAAATTTCTGTAGAAAAATTACTCACACTTGAATGTCATAAAACATGTAAAATACTTTCGAATTACTTCAATTCTTACTTGTGGGCTTTACAGTTGTGGCATCAACGACACAACCCAAAATCGGAATCACATATGGACCCGGAATGTGATCTGTATGTTTGCGACGATATTTTGTAGTGATATGGATTCGTAACGCCCATACTAATAGAGCTATAATAAAAACTAACGTAAAGTATGCCATGTTAGTGGCGATTGAAAACTGAACAGTCTCAGTGATTATGGCTTTATTTATATTCACAATTATTCCTATTTTATAAAAAAACTTATAGTAACTAATAAATTATATTATTTGAATAAATGATTAAGAGATTTTTAATCTCATCTCATTATTATCAGTTTAAAAAACAATGTTTGCCTCGCATTTGTTTCTAACTAATTGATTTTTTTTGTACACACAATTATTCTCACGACACAAATCAATCTACAATCTACTTCTAATCGATTAATTATTTATATTTATGTGTTTGGTCAGAACCTATTATTTATAGATATTCCTGTAAATATAAAAATTTAGTTTAATACATTCATTGTTATATTCGCGACATACACATGCCATTAAATATTCAGTTTCTCAATGGATACCAAATCATTATGCAATATTCATATTTGTCTTTTATGGAAGCCCCTTATAACCGTAACCCCTCTCTTTTTTTAATATGTTGTGGAATTTCGATATACTGTTTAATAGTTGGTTTAAAACAGTGCAAATATATAATTGCCATATGTACATATGTATTTAATCAATAAAGTGCTAATCGATCAATTATCGATATTTTTCTTGATCTTGGAGGTAGAACTTTGAGTCTCCTATTATTCGGAATACTCGTCATATCACGGATGCGTCGCCTGGCCATTTTTTTCATGAAGTCTTCGGAAAAACATTCTTATTGGTATTTTTACAAATTTTTCTAAACATTGACATATATTTAATTTTTCCTGCAAGAAAATATATTACCGTTGGAGAACATAGAATGGCGTATTCAATTCACTTAGGCTGTAGCATTTGACTTCAACAATCAAAACACTTAAAAGGTCTTTTTTAAGTATTTGGATGGTTGAAGTCCTTTTATGTGGGGCCGTGTTAAAAGCAAGAGTCTATATTACCTACGTAACTTCTACGAAACATCGTTTAAATATCAAAAATGCGTGTTTGTGATATACCAAAATTTGCAATGATAAAAATCCATATAAAATTTTACCTGTATTACAATCAAAATATTAAATTATTAAAAATAAAACAAAATATAGAAACGAAATAAAATTATGCTGATGCCCGCTTCTTCATTCCAAGTTGCATACCAGTTTCTGAACGTAATATAATTCCAATTACAGGTTTAACATCTTGCCCCAGAGGCAACAGCTCATATTCGTGAAGTATTTTACAGAGGACAATTTTCATTTCCAGCATGGCAAAACGCTGACCAATGCAATTTCGAGGGCCAGCACTAAATGGTATATTAGTAAAAGGGTTAGAGGTGCGCGATTCCCTATGCCGATTGGGTATAAATTCCGTGGGATTCACATAAGCTTTAGAATTTCTCATTGTATGGTATACCAAAATGAGAACTTGTGTAGAAGCTGGAATAATGCCTTCGCCTAGACTACAGTGAGCTGAAATTCAAAAGAAGGCAGGGCAATTTAAGAAACTATGCTGATAGCTTTGTGATTATTGACAACTTACTGTAGTGTAGATCTTCTGTAAGTTCACGTCCAATTATAGGTACTGGCGGATACAGACGCAATGACTCCTTTATTACACATTCCATATACTTCAATTTATTTAATTTGGCCACTGTGAATGACTCGTAATTTTTTTCTCCAAAAACGGTATATATTTCAAATAGCATCAATTTCTGAACTTCAGGATGACGTGACACCAGATACAGGGTAAAACTAAGCGCAGTTGTTGTTGTATCATGACCCTCAAACATAAATGTATCGACTTCTTCGCGTATGTCTTCATTTGACAATGGTTGACCATCAATTGTTGCCTGCAAAAGGACATCGAGCAGAGCCATGCGTTTCCTTTCCCCAATGATATCGGCGTCATGATTTTGTTCGTTATTTGTTTCAGATTTTAAACGTTTCTCCAGTGCTCGTCGCCGTTCCTCAATAACATTTGTTGTAAAATTGTGCATCAATTTAATGAGTTTAGTTTGTCTTATTTTTTTCCATGGACATAGAATGGAAAACATGGTTTCGTCGTGCAGATGGGCGCGTAAACAACGCCAAGACACCAATTGTGTCATCCTAAAAAAACAAGTAGTAAATATTATAATAGGACGGAACCGACTATGAAAGAGCTATATCTCGTTCCTGTTTATACAACTAGTGTAATTGGAGGAGTTGTAAGCAATATTACCACATACAGACATATTGAATTAACATTTAGTTATAGTTTGCATAAGACTTTTGGTCCATTTGGCCTGTGAATTGTTGATCGATCATTATTATTATTCGTTTTACTCACTCTTTTACAGCCATTGTATATGGCAGAGTTTTATACGTCTGAGCATGGGTATTGACACCCATCGCCGACTCCGTTATTATATCCAAGGCAGCCGAACAGATATAGGGCATAACATCAAAAGCAGTCATACCATCGGCTCTCTCCGATAAACAATTAACCAACACCGAAATTTTCTATTGAAAACTTCCAAAAATTGTTCCAATATTCCGAAATGAAATGTTGGTGTTATGATTTTACGGCGGGCATGCCATTTTTGTGAATCGCTTATTAGTAGGCCAGTTCCCAGAAATGGTTTTAGGGTTTTATATAAACTAGATTTTCGAATTTGGGTGGGGTGGGCAAGAATTTGTTCAATGAATTCAAAATCTGTTGTGAATATATAGAGACGATCCAATGCCCATCCTTTAAAAATGCTGCCATGCAATTGCAGCAATTCATTTAGTTTTTCCAGCAATTCTAAAAAATATGAAACGGAAAGTAAAGGTTTAATGAGAGGCTGTATACACGATAATACGATGAAAATGTGCTAAAACGCTTAAAGAGACTATAGAGGAACATTTGGTGAATTCAGAAAACGAAATCTAAGATTAATAATCAACTTTTCTTACGAAACTAACGATATTTTTTCACTTTTTAAACACAGTTTTTCTTTTGTTTTTGCAAAATAGTCAGGCTGAATCCCAGTTTGTTGTTTTTATAAAAAAACAACTATTTATTAGTGGGGAATGTATGGCATTGTTTGCCGAGGGGTAAGGCAGGGAAGACTATAGTTTCGGATCACGCCACTGATCCTCATCAGTTCCCTTAGTTTTTTTGTTGGGATATTCTCCCCAGAAGCTATTGGCTTCTATACAAAAAACCTTTCATACCCAAATGTCTCTTGTAACAAAGCGAAGTACTTAGCTGACCAACGACATAAACTGCATGAGAATTTCGCTGGAGCCTCACTTCGAGGTTAACAAGGCATTTACAAACAATACCACACCTTTCCCACTGTTGTGTGTTGTCACATCGCGACAAAGGCACACAACGACTTTGTTGGTGTTGCTAGTATACAGCAACAAACCAAACAGTTCAACCGTGTCTGCGTCTACAACTTCAGTAGTGTTGGCGGTTTATTTGGGATACCATTTGCCTTACCCCTCGGCAAACAATGCCATACATTCCCCACTAATAAATAGTTGTTTTTTATAAAAACAACAAACTGGGATTCAGCCTGACTATTTTGCAAAAACAAAATACAAATGGTATCCCAAATAAACCGCCAACACTACCACAGTTTTTCTATTTATAAATTTTCAAATTTATTCGTTTCTTACTTGTGGGCTTTACAGTTGTTGCCTCAGCGACACAACCCAAAATTGGAACAACATTAGGCCCAGGAATGTGATTTGTATGTTTGCGACAATTTTTCGTTGTAATATGGATTCGTAACGCCCATGCGAGGACTATAACAAATACGACGAAATATACCATTGTGGTGATTGAATACTAATGAGCCGCATTGACAAGACGAATATTATATAGCCACCAACCTTTTTCCCGTTTCAATGAAAACCATATAGTTTTATAATTTTTACTACTTGAATAAATTAATTCAAGAGTGTTTTATCCAATCTATTTTATGTCGGTCTAAAAGTTAATGCTTGATTCTAATCATGTTTTTACCGCCGTGAGTTTATACAGTTCTATCTATATAGATTACCCGTGAACTGCGAAAAAACTCGAACTATAAAATATTGCACAGAAAAATGTCCGGTTAAACGATAAGTGCAAATGGATTAATTATTGACATCTGTTTTTTGTGTTTTTTTTTTCACCAGATATTGCAATAATGCGTAAAACTAATTGGATGAAAAGAAATCAAATGGTAATAAAATATAATACATTTGTATTGGTCTTTTTTCGGATATAGAGACATTTAAAGGTCTGGATTTGTTTTAAAAAATACTGTTAAGTGGTATTAATTTTTTTTTGATTACTTTGTGTCCTTGAAGAATATACAATGTAATATTTGTTGTGGCCTTTTCTGGATCACTTTCAAAATATACGATTCATATGGTGAATTTATTTTTAGTATTTTTAATCAGTGGAAATTAAACCATAAGGACTTAGATAAATAAGCGAAGACGTTGCTACAGGACAGCAACACTAAAAATAGGGTTCGTCCTTGGGGCAAATAAATAATCTGTGCCAAATTTTATATCATTCTGATAATAAATGCGACCTGTATTTTGTTTACAATTTAACATGGACAGACAGTCTAACGGGCGGACAGACGGACATGCATTAATCGACTCAAAAGGAACCATGGGTATATATCGATTCCTTTTCCTTGTTTTTGAGTTATAACTCCTAAGTTTAGCGTTTATCTTCGTTTTGGGCTATTGTAGATAATTTTTGAGATCACATGTCTTCAAACAAATAGCATGAAGAATATTATTGTAGTACACATAAAATTGTTCAATCCTGAGTCCTTGTGCGTCCTTTGGTCCTCATTGTCTTGGACCGTAAACTAAATACCACAAGACGAGGTTGTTTGAATTACCAAAATTCTACAAAAATGTTGCACATAATATTTGATACGGGGTGATCGAAGACATAAAATCGACATTCGTATGTTTTATAGTTATTTTCAGCTTTTAATAACATTTATTCGATGTATACCGCATTTCCAGGTAATAAATTCGAGTCAGTTTTAACTACTCATATTATCGACAATAACTCTAAAGCTTATGAACGGTCGCAGATGGTCGTATAATTCTTGACAGAGAACACAAACATTAAAATATCCTCTGGCACTGCTTGGCACTAGGTTCGGAAACTCATTTCTCTTTTTTGGGAAAATAATATGTATGAGTTTTATATGCGAACATTTGTATTATTATCTTCAAATTACTGATAATTTTCACTTCCATTATGATCACCAGTCCCTTCGGTTTAATTGGCCGCCATTCCTGTTCATAGTATGACGCATGCTAATGTTTTATAACATTTTTGAAACATAAATCGTAATAAGAAATTTTGATTTTGACCTCATGTCATTTGTAAACCTTGACCGACAATATTATAAAGTTTTACTGGTGTAAAGCTCAAAGTCCCCAGATTTCAAATATATAACGTTTTAGCGTCAATTGAGTCGAATAAGTTTGTTAAAACACAGATCGAATTTATTATGCGGAATAACACCCCCATTTGATTCAAAAAATAACTCCATTGATAAGAAACAAATCTGCTTCCGATTGAGCTTTCATATTTATTATCGATTGATTTCACTTAACGAAATTTCGTATGTCTTACTGAATAGGGTCGGGATAGATGTGCGTCAATTTTGCTTTGAATCAGTTTAAATGTCTGTTTTGCAGTCGAAATAATATATTAAACTTTAAAAAAAAATTTCAGGGTTTTAATTTTTATTATTTCTTATATTTATGTAGACACCCGCTTCTTCATTCCAAGTTGCAAACCAGTTTCTGAACGTAGTATAATTCCGATTACAGGTTTAATATCTTCGCCCAGAGGCAACAGCTCATATTCGCGTAGTATTTTACAAAGGACAATTTTCATTTCCAGCATTGCAAAGCGTTGACCAATACAATTTCGAGAACCAGCACTAAATGGTATATTACTAAATTGTTTAGAATTAGTCGAATTTCTGTGTCGATCGGGTATAAATTCAGCGGGATTGTCATAAGCTTGAGGGTCTCTCATTGTATGGTATAGCAAAAGGAGGACTTCTGTTGAATCTGGAAGAATGCCATCACCAAAACGAGAGTGAGCTGAAATTCAAAAGAAAAGTGGAACTTTTAAAGAAAACCGCCATTTGACAAATTACTGTAATTGAAATCGTTGATAATTTCACGGCTAATTACTGGTACTGGCGGATACAGACGCAATGACTCCCTAATTACACATTCCATATACTTCAAGTTATTTAATGTGGCCATGGCGAATGGTTCGGCATTTGTTTCGCCAAAAACTGTATATATTTCAGAAAGCAGCCGTTTCTGTACTTCAGGATGACGTGAAATCAGATGCAGGGTAAAACAAAGTGCAGTCATTGTTGTATCATGACCCTCAAACATAAATGTATCCACTTCTTCGCGTATATCTTCATTTGACAATGGTTGGCCATCCAGTGTTGCCTGCAATAGGACATCGAGTAGACCCATATGTTTCCTTGCCCCAATGTTATTGGCATCATGATTCTGTTCGATATTTTGTTCAGATCTTAAACTTTTCTCCAGTGATTGTCGTCGTTCCTCGATAACATTTGTTGTAAACTTGTGCATCAATTTAATGAGTTTATTTTGTCTTAATTTTTTCCATGGACATAAAATGGAAAACATGGTTTCGTCATGCAGATGTGCTCGTATACAACGCCAAGACACCAGGTCTGTCATCCTTAAAAACAAATTATCAATGAATATTGGAAGGGTATGGGCTCAGTATTTTTGCAGCCCTTTATCCCGAGTTTGAAAACAAAACAAGTGTAATTAAAAGGGTGGTATGCCATATTAGAACATACAAATATTTCAGTATATCTTGCATATCAGTCATATATAAATATCATTTATATCGATTATAAAGGCTATTTTTATTTTATTTTTAAAACTGACCATATCACATTTAGATATATTTCACATAAAATTTGTCTATTACACTATGCGACAAAATTAAGTTCATTGCCGCTAATTTTAAAAGGCTATCATTTCCAAAGGAAAAATTTTTGTTACTCAGTGTGGTAACTTTTAATTAATAATAATTTCTGCCGTATTCAATACTCACTCTGTTACAGCCATTGTATATGGCATACTTTTATCCGTCTGAGCATGGACATTGACACCCATAGCCGACTCCGTTATAATATCCAAGGTAGCCGAAGAAATGTAAGACATAACGTCAAACGCTGACCTACCATCGGCTCTCTCCGATAAGCAATTAACCAACACCGTAGATTGTCTATCGAAAACCTCTAAAAATTGTTCCAATATTGCAAAATGAAATGTCGGTGTTATAATTTTACGACGGGTATGCCATTTTTGTGAATCACTTATTAATAGACCAGTTCCAAGCCACGGTTTTAAATTGTTATACAAACTTGATTTTCGAATTTGGGTGGGGTGAGAGAGAAGTTGTCCAACCAATTCTGCGTCTTTTGTTACTATATACAGGCGATCCAATACCCAGGCTCTAAAGGTACTTCCATACAAATGCAGCAATTCATTTACTTTTTCCAGTATTTCTACAAAAATTAAGGAATGAACAGTAAAAGAACTATACATTGAAATATAACACATAATATACATCCTAATGCTCTTAACTTAGGATTAATGTCCAATTCAAATAGCGAAATACAATACGAATACGCCATAATTTTAAAACCTATGGGCAATTATGAAACCTATTTACCAAAAATTTCTTGTCAAGCCTTCCATATAAACATTCCTCCTCCTTCTTTGTATTTGAAGTATTTTCCAGCAGAAGGGTTTTAATTTTGTATACCGATTTCCTCTGATTTGTTTTAATATCTTATGTAAGTGTAATCATTTCCCGCACAAAATTATTAAGGCGTATAGATTCGAAATCAACATATTTTTTTAATATTATTCTACCTTTAAATTAGTTCACCTCTTACTTGTGGGCTTTACAGTTGTTGCCTCTGCGACACAACCCAAAATAGGAACAGCGTACGGACCAGAAATATGTTCTATGTGTTTGCTACGATTTTTTGTTGTGATATAGATTCGTAACGCCCATACGAATAGAACAATAATAAAAACCATAGTGAAATAAGCCATTTCGGTGGCGAATAAAAACTGAACAGCCACACTGATAATATGAATATTATATAGCCAATATTTTTCACTTTTAAATAAACACTTATAGTAATTAATAAATATTATTGTTTGAATAAATTAATTTAAGAGTTTAATCCCATCTCAATTGATCAGTGTATAAGGTAATGGTAGCCTCTATTAGATTTTCTTACAGCACGTGTTTTCACGGTTCAAAATATTTAATTTACCCGTAATCTTTGAAAATATACTCGAAGAGTAAAATATTGCACAAATAAGTATATGTATAATTTAATGATATGAGTTCACAATCAAACAAGTTCTGATCGAACAATTATTGGCTAATGAGGGTAAATACGCCTTGCTACGACAAGGTCATATTTCTAGACTGGCCATATTTTGCTGAAAATTATTTTTTATATTATCATGGGATTTCAACCAAACTTTGTAGAACGAAATATTTTTACTAACCATGTATAATGTAGGAGGGTGGGACATAGCGGTAGTACATCCCCGACCAAAAAGTAACATTTTTGAAGGTAAGTAAATCACCTACGCAATAAATTGCATCCAAAATTTGTACATTGTAATATTTTGACCATATTTAACGTAATAGTAAAATCATCGGTTATATGGGTCCATCATCTCTGGCATCCCCCACAAACTTATGAAAAAGTATATAGTTAACAAAAACTACTCACCCAATACAAATGTCCCGCCCAATTTTTGGTATTTTAATGTTTGAATTTGTCTTGTGTCTCATTTTCGTCCTGATTATCTTTAACCATAAATTAAATATCACAGAACAAGATTTCAGATCGTCCTTTTTCACTCTTACCCGATCCTTGCTCACGATCCTTGTATCTACGAACACTATATAATTTTGTTAAAAATTATAGAATAGGAAGAACAGTCGGACTAGTATGAAATGTTAACCACTAACAAGTAAGAACGAGGATCACCAAAAACAAAAATATATGGGGAATACAAGCAGAAAACTCATGTTATGATCCAATATTCTTAAAATACCTACTTGGGTCAATATAAATAATGTTTAGTGCGGAGATATGGTAATCCTTTATGAGAAACCAAAATACCAAATTACGTGTAAAAATCCCCGTATTGGGGGTTACCATATTATGGAGCTACCTTTAAACGGTACGGAGATATGGTAATCCTTTATGAGAAACCAAAATACCAAATTACGTGTAAAAATCCCCATATTGGGGGTTACCATATGAAACTTGGGTTAATATTAATAATTTCTGGTATGGAGATGTGCTATACAATGAGAACCCAAAATACTAAAGTACAGCCAATTTGGTTAGAAAACTTGTAAAAAAATCCCCAAAAATTCCGAGTATTGGAGAGTACCGTTAAATGGGGGCTAATTTGAAATTAGTGTCAATATTAAGTATTTTTGTTACGGATATGTTTTATTCAATGAGAACTGAAACTCAAAATACCAAATAATAGCCAGAGATCCCATATTTTGGCTGAGTCCTGTTGGAATGTCCAAGGTCGATTAATACGAGCGGAGAGCGACCATCGGCTGTTATGGCGACCCACACCATCACTATGGCGCTGCTGGACAACGAATGTTTTCTCATCGTAGAAAACCAAATTCGGCATTTCACCACTTTCAACCAATCGAATCAACTCTTTAGCTCTTTTGAGTCTATTTTCATTCTGTTGCGGTGTAAGTTCTTGCACTTTTTGGAATTTCAATGGCTTAACCCCGAGCTCATTTTTCAATATTTGCTGAATGGAATACTGCGATATGTTCATCTCACGAGACATTTTTCGGCCACTGCGCCGGGTGTTTCGATCAAGTCGCTTCTTTATTTGTCGAACCATTTCTGCTGATGTTGCTGTTGTCTTCCTTCCACTTCCTTGGCTTCGAGCTACGCTACGCTACACAAAAGATTAATTCACATTTACATGCTGGAGTGCTCTAAATATAAAGAAAATTCTTGCCACAATGCTTTTGTACGCTTGTAAACTATATAATGAGCTGTCACTGGAATAATTTAACAGCTGTCGGACGAGTGGCTTAGAAATGACAGCAGTCGGAGGTTTGTTACAGTTTTTTCATCTCAACCTGTAAATTGGGCGGTACAAGCTATACCAAATGGTGTATCTATAATAAAAATTTTCTGTTAAACAGTTGTTCACCTACCAAAACCCTGGCGAATTACACTAAAACTTTAAAATATCGATAATGGGTCAGACTCTTTCAATACATTTTTCAATGTACATATATACAAAATTTCGAAGCTCAATCTCAATTCTGTCGATAGATAATTTAATAATGATATTAAAGTGTACAGATATTTTGACTTGCTACAAACGGAATGACAAAGTTAATATACCCTCAAAATTCTTTCAGAATATAGTAACTAAGGTTAGTAATGCATATAAAAATATTCTTGATACGTGTTGTCTAAAACCACAACTCGGCTGTGAATAACAAAAATTATAGCGACAATGATTCACCACCACGCTGGATAAAAGCTTCATTTTCTATTTGCCACAAAACCGAAACACAACCCAACCAAAACATTTCAGTCTTTATTTTGTATTTCTAATCTCCACAATGTCTGGTGTTTTTGGCGAGGAATTCAAACAGAATTGGCCTCTGATAAGCATAAATCTCAAGCTGTCAAAATTCGGTCAAAAACTAATTGAAAAAATACGTTCAATAGAAAAGGCACAAACAACAAATATTGACGTTGCCGAATTTATAAAGAAATCATACGATTTTCCCATAGATGTGAGTAAATTTAGTGCAATTTTTTCTAATAACAATAACAACAAAAATCGTTTTTTAGTTTCCTATTCAAAGCTGTCGCGTTAAGTCACAACTTCAAGAACATTATCCAATTATAAAGCAACAGCTTGCTTCGGCATATCCGGTGATACATGAAAAAGTTATTATATTAATAATCGATTTTTTGGAGCATAAACTTAAATATGGTAAGGATAGATTGAAAATCCAAACATATCACAATAATAAAAACTTTATCTGTTATGTATTCATTTACTGTTATAAAAGATGTCAACATATACAGTGGCGTGCAAAAGTGTATGAATGTTTGTACATTTTCAACTAAAATGTCGATAAAATTGTTCTAGCTAAAATATTTCAACGAACATTTGAATATTTGTTCAATATTTGTAAGATTATATCGTACAAAAAATAATACAAATAACAATTACAACTTTGGTTATCGTGAACGATCGCAACAAATGACAGCTCGTACACTTTTGCTCGTTTTGGTGGTTGATTAATAATATTAAAATACACAAATGTGGATCAAAACGGATACTGAAATCGATTCATTTGAGGTCCCATCTTCAGACTTGATCGAGGCTTAGTGAAACTATTAGAATTTACAACGTTTGGATCAATTTGAATTCCCAACCGGCTTCATAAGTAATTTACTAGAATTAGGCCAATGTTTTGACATAGGCATCATTCGACGAAGTATTTTATATCCTATGCCGATTAGAGCATGTCCGTCCGACTGTCTGTCTTTTGAAATCACGATAGAACACTGACATTTTACACAGACCTTGATAATACTCCTAGGATGTTTTGTATTACAAATGGGATATATCGGTTTTGGTATAGCCACCATATACTCCTAGGATGTTTTGTATTTTGGGTTTATAACAGTATCACCACATATCCGCACTAAAAATTATTAATATTAACCCAAGTCGTCATTCTGAGAATTTTGGACCCGTTTTTTAACCGAATTGGCTGTAATTTGGTATTTTGTATTCTCATTGACTGTCAAATCTTACTACCAAAAATAATTCCAATCATCTTTTTCTCAGGTATTTTTCGGTTTGTGCAAGGTCATATCATAACATGAGTTTTCTCCTAGGAGCCTCCATTAATTTTGATATTTTCATAGTCATCCTCATGGTGGAGGATATAAAAAGTTCGGCCGGCCTGAACATAATAGCATTTACATTTGAGGACTTTATTTATATTTTGAACGGTTCGACCCAGCTGATTTTTGTTCAATCTTGTTCATTATTTACGACATATTATTATCATTTATCACAATCATTTATCTAAAAAAACTATTTCTTTTTAAATGCCAAAATAACGACTCATTTATATCCCATTTTTGCAGGATCTCAAATTGAAAAACGCCTTTACAAAGGCATGACTATAGCCGAATTTATTCATAGACTTTTAACAAAGCGGTGTGTATGTTTCTATGGTGAAAATGATAATTATTTACTGCTAGATGGCAATAGAGGATGTGGAACAATGAATTATGAACAAATCGGATCCAAACATGAGACACCTCCATTAATCTTAAAGAATGTGCTCAGCTATGATGAAATTAAGGTAACACAATTCCACTTCGGTACCATATGGCCGTTTTTAATGACTGTGATTTCTTCAGATTTCGGCCTTTGTTTCAGTTTCCTCATACAGCGATTTCATTAACGATGGCAAACGAACAAAAACCAAAGGTGAAGGTATTGTGATGGGCATAATTGGTGCAAGATTAGAACGCCAAGGTGTAATGGAGTTCCAAGATATAATTATATCCGAAAATCAAAATATTCTAAAAAATGGTTATGGTCCGAAAAGTATAGAAATTAAAGCACCAAAAAAATCTCTATTGAAAATATTAAATTTGCGAAAACGTAATGCATTGAAAAAATTGCAAGATTATCGCCGTATATGGAATAAATTCTATGAAGAAAATGATCATCTCCACGAAGATGTTGTAAAAGAAAATAATAATCCACGATACGGCAATTCATTAAATTCTTTGCTAAAAGTTGACTATTTAATTATGAAGAAACGCTATGCCATAGCAATTGATATGTTATTGTTAGAGTCAGATAATCGAGCCAAATTAGCGGGCAAATTAGCCTACATTCACATGGAGGATTTTTGGATTTGCGGAGTGTGGCTTGCTGAGCACCAGGAGAGCATTTTTGTGGAAACTATAAGTCAACGTTTAAAATATTTATTGCCATATTTGAATAATATTGGGGTCGTTCATTTGGGCTGTTTCAATTCGAATGAATGGGGAGATTTGAAAAATGGAGGTATCTTCAAATCGGATTATCATCCTCGTGGTGGCATCAAAACAATTATATCAAATGTAAGTTCTGAAAATTAAAATTTTCCAACATTCTGATATTTGATTGTACATTTTAGCAACCCCCTGATTATGACAATATGTTGTTGATAGTTACCTACGCTTGGAATGCCAATGCCTTGCCAGGTAATGAATTTTGGATGGTAAGTTCGTAGTGCGTATAAAAATACAACTACATATTGATTTCCTTTTTTAATTTCAGAGAAAACTTGAAGACTCCAATGATGCCTCCACAGCCTGCAGTACTTTAATAAGTGAGCTCCATAATCCCCACATTAATACGGAATTTGTATGCGGCAATAATTTACACGTTGCCTGTGCCGATTATGGAATTTTACATATTAATGATTATGTAGATAAATGTTTAAGCTCCAATATATAACCAGATGTTTAAAACAGGCATGCTCGCCCATTCACGCTACCGTAACTGAGTGTCGATGGTTAAACACGCATTCTCTTTTTTTCTCTTTTCTTCAGTCGGTTTTAATTATGATTTCTCAGTTACGCTCACCCACACTTACGCTCAATTTTGTTATGCCCACCACTGGTTTAAAATTATAACCAGATTACAGGTGTTTCCTTCACATGTGACGACAATGCTACTTTAATGATTTTTGGTACACAGATTATGAAAAAATAAAGGTTTTTAATCCGATCGTTATTTTATTTGAGGTTGAAAATAAAACAGAAAGGCATTCTCTTTTAAATAAATTACCAAACTATTGAGTAGTAAAAATTAAATGACCTTGATATGGGGATCTGTATTAACATCAACTTTTGTTAATAAATTATGCTAAATCCTTCGAAATGTCGAAAACGTATCGAATGCAATTATAACCTCTGAGTGCTCATTTGATTGTCCCAGACGTAGTATATGAAATGACTCTTGGTTCTATGTAAGAAAAAATGTCTCTACAGTTGGAAGATGCGACTGGGGCTATAAAACTACTTAACTTGGACTGGAACTTTATAAGGGGTTAAGTAAAGATGAGAATGGACCATGGACAATAAAAATTCGAAAAAAGGCGGAGTGGATATAGACTTCTCTCAAATTATTTCAATAATAAAGAAAAGACAGGTGTTCTCTCTTTTCTTTTTTCAATATGTTTATTTAAAAAAAGGAATAACATACCCGTCTCCGAACGTAATATAATACCAATGACAGGTTCAACATCTTGACCGAATGGCAACAGTTCGTACTCGCGAATTTTACAAAGCATAATTTCCAGCATTGCATATCGTTGACCAATGCAATTTCGAGGGCCCGCTCTAAATGGTATATAAGTAAATGGATTTTTGATGGACGCGTCTTTGTGCCGGTCTGGTATAAATTCCGATGGATTGTCATAATATAAGGGATCTCTCAATAAGTGGTATATTGAAATAAAGACTTGTGTCGATTGGGGAATAATGACATCGCCTAAACGTGAGTGATCTGAAATTGTATAGAATATGTACAGTTTAGTGAACTGTACGTCATTTTGGAGTCAGGTAGTCAAATGGAAATAGTTGTTTTCTAAGATTCTATTTATAATGTAGATCATAAAATATGCTATTTATGACTCTCACGCATGGTGTGTGTGCAGGTCTCAAGTGGAACGTCAATAGTGCGTTGGTAAATAGAGATAAGATTGCTGCACACGGTGCGCATAAGAATGCATTTTACATAATTTGTTGTCTGTGTGTATTTTTGGGTGATCGTAAATAAAGACCATAAATGTGTCCAAACCCAAATCTATTTACACATTCAATGTATGTATTTGAAATGCATTGTACTTCTATGTATTAAAATGTAGGTTTAGAGTTAAGAAAATATTATAAATAAAATGAGTTCACCTCGAACCACGGAACCGTCAACACCGTGCGTTTTTGTTTTCTCCAATTTCTCCCGTCGCACATTTGTGATGAGATCAGGAGTCATCTCATCATTTGGTGACCCCGACGTGATAGGCGCGTAATAAAAGACGTGATAGGCGCGTAATAAAAGACGTGATAGGCGCGTAGTAAAGGACAAACTACGTTGGTTATCGCGTAGTATTTAGTGAAGTGATAGGCCGTAAAAGAAAAAAATAAAATCGGGTTTTTCACACAGTGTTAGTGACGTAATAGGCGCGTATAAAAGAAAAATACGTTTAGTTTGTCGCGAAGCGAAACAATAGACGCGTAGTAAAGAAAGAACTGCGTTAGGTCTATTGTGAAGTGTTTAGTGTAGTGCTACTAACGTGTTAGATGTGCCGGTGAAGGCAAGCCGTGCTAAGTCTACACGTATTGTTTTGGGATAGGCACACTGCTGAGGTAAAGGCAGTGTTAGTTTTTGTCCAATGGGAATAGGCAGTCGAAGAAAGACTGTTTTTATCTCGTTAACATAGATGATTTTCATAAGAAGACAGATATATAATCGTAAAAATGAATTTTGAACAATTCATTAAACATCAAAGAATGTTGGGCGAATATATCGTCTCTATTTATTTAAACCTGAGCAAAATTGCTCAAAAACGTGTGACAGGAGAAATTAGAAATTATTGTTTAGGTTTAGCAGATTCCTTCATAGAAGCAAGGAGGGAATTCCTAGATAATGAGGAGAAGCTCCACCGTATGGGAAAGGTTCCATACAAACATATATTGTTTGGTTTGGGAGTACGGTATGCTTTTGACGAGATTGAAACCGGTATGTGGGTGAGGGGTATTTTCGTACCCTTAGAAGCTCCAAGGTTCGAAGCAGTAGCTAAGTTGAACAGCGTAAGTTCATCAGAAAAGTATGAAGATAGCGATATATTTTTCCTATCGCCACAAGAAAAAGATACACTAGTTAGGCGACTAAGTTTTGCCTTAGAGGAGTTAGCAGAAGAGGTTGAGAATGCTCTTCTGAGCAACTCAAGAATTAGCTTTCATAAGTATGTAAACGCTGAAGGTAGATATTTAGAATATGGCTTGAATTTACCTGTAGATAGTGTTCTTGCTAGAAGATTTTTGTTTCTTGAGATTTGCTATGAAGTATTAGAAAAGGATACTAATTTTAGAAGAGGATACGAACTGATTACATATAGGGTCGTGAATGAAGAATCTCGTTTAGAGAATGAAAATGACTTAGGGACGAGTGAGACGGAGACTACAAAAATTAGAAACGGTCACGTTGATGTTCCGCGAGTCGGTGTGGAAGTCGAAAACAACAAACCACAAATAACGCGTAAACTGAAGCATAAAATCGATAACGCGAATTTCCAAACAATAGAGACTGCAAAGAAAAAAGATGCAGTTGAAGAAGAGCTGCCATCACGGAATATAAATAAGGCAGCTAGAGGAAACGTGCAGCAAATGAAAGAGCCAGACACAATCCTCAAGGATAAAGATCGAAAGAGTGGCTGGGAAGATCCTATAAAGAAAATAGTTGCCGAAACCCTAAGAGCCCATAGTGAAACTGCAGAGAATACCAACCCGACGGTAACAGTCACTGGTCCAGCGGTTGGCGCTACCGACGGCTGTCCTGCTGTCCAAAATGCACTCATAGATAAAGATGAGTCACTGCCCAAAATAGGAAAACACGTCGATGAAAATGACTTTAAAGAGTTGAAAACGGATACGAGTAAAAATTCATACCAAGCTGCGGTGAAAATAAAAACGACTTTACCCACAAAACTTCAAAATGACGATCAAAAGGACATCGTGAAAGAATATGCTTGTAAAAGGTCGAATAAAGAAAATAAAGAAGGTGCCAAATGGAATACGCTGGAACACAAGGGTCCTGTATTAACTCCTTCTTACAAGCTTTTGCCAGGAAATGTTTACTGCTGCAAGCCATTAAAGCAAAACAAAGAACCTGAGAAAGCCGCTACATCACATGCTAAGATGTTGCATAACACAAAGAAAATCATCTGTAATTTCATGACCACTGAAGAGAAAAATAACTTCAAGGAAGAGAAGTACCCATTAAGAAGAAAGAAGTTTTTCCTAGTTTTTCATCGGTGGAAGATGGAGTCATGCTGCCACTGGCTGCTGGATGTTGTGGGTGCCATAACGTAGGTGTAAAGAGCATAGTGAAGCTGTTCCTATTATTTTATAATCTCTATTAAAATTAGAACTTATGTTTAGCATTTTTTATATATTTGGAAATTTTAGAAATTAAGATATAACATTCAACCGATTGTTAGTATTAAGAAAATTATGTGAATTTCATACATTTTATCTATACATGTTTTGTTAAAAGATTGGGATCTTTTAAGGCCCGCAGTCTGTACAGTTTAGTGAACTGTACGTCATTTTGGAGTCAGGTAGTCAAATGGAAATAGTTGTTTTCTAAGATTCTATTTATAATGTAGATCATAAAATATGCTATTTATGACTCTCACGCATGGTGTGTGTGCAGGTCTCAAGTGGAACGTCAATAGTGCGTTGGTAAATAGAGATAAGATTGCTGCACACGGCGCGCATAAGAATGCATTTTACATAATTTGTTGTCTGTGTGTATTTTTGGGTGATCGTAAATAAAGACCATAAATGTGTCCAAACCCAAATCTATTTACACATTCAATGTATGTATTTGAAATGCATTGTACTTCTATGTATTAAAATGTAGGTTTAGAGTTAAGAAAATATTATAAATAAAATGAGTTCACCTCGAACCACGGAACCGTCAACACCGTGCGTTTTTGTTTTCTCCAATTTCTCCCGTCGCACATTTGTGATGAGATCAGGAGTCATCTCATCAGAATAAGTAGAGGGGGAGGAAACAATTATTATTTTTTTATTCTTGGACAACTTACTATAATGGAAATCTTCAATAATTTCACGACCAATAACAGGTGCTACAGGATATAGACGAAACGTTTCTTTTAAAACACATTCCATATACTTCAATTCATTCAGCTTGGCCATTGTGAATGGTTCGACATTTGTTTCACCAAAAATTGTATACATTTCGGACAGCAGCATTTTCTGGACTTCGGGATGCCGTGACACCAAATACAGCGCAAAACTAAAAACGGTCGGCTTCCGAACGCCAATGTCATCTGGATCATGATTATGTTCGCAATTTATGTTTGATTGTAAATGTTTCTCCAGTTCTTGTCGTCGTTCCCCAATAACATTTCTTGTAAAATTGTGCATCGATTTTATTAATTTATTCATCTTTAATTTCTTTAGTGGACAAAAAATGGAAAATAAAATATCAGCGTGCAGGTAGCTACGTACACAACGCCATAATATCAGATCGGTCAATCTAAAAAATAAAATGTTTAAAAAATGCAGTATAGTTAAACGGGCCCAACCATAGGGGTCCTGTCATTGTTCATAGCTACGTACACAACGCCATAATATCAGATCGGTCAATCTAAAACATAAAATGTTTAAAAAATGCAGTATAGTTAAACGGGCCCAACCATAGGG